ATTAGAGGCAGTCAGTATAGTATACCATACTGACTCCGTGGTGCGGCTGGGGGCAGGCCCCCAGCGAACACACATACACACACACACACACGGGGCACCTGCTCCGAGCCTCCGCGGCCAGAGGCCCGCTCCCTGTGGGAAGCTCCCTGAGGGCTCCCGGACTGTGAAAGGAGGCAGGCTGGGCTGAGGGACCCCCACCCCCTGGGTCGGAGGCTTGGAGCAGGTGCCCCGTGTGTGTGTGTGTGTGTGTGTGTGTGTGTGTGTGTGTGTATGTGTGTCTGCTGGGGGCCTGCCCCCAACCGCATCGGAGGCTCAGAGCAGGCACTGTGTGTGTGTGTGTGTGTGTGTGTGTGTGTGTGTGCGCGCGCGCGCGCTCTGGGGGCCTGCCCCCAGCCACGCCATGGAGGCTCAGAGCAGGCGCCTCTCTGTGTTGATCTCTCAGGCTCTGGGCCGCGGCTGTGTGTTGTTCTCTCAGGCTCGGGACCGCGCCCGACCCCTCCTCCTGTGCTGGTCATGACTGTTACAGAGTCCCAAACTCATTTGCATATTACTTCTTTGTATATATAGATTATACTAGAGGCCCAGTGCAAAAAATTCATGCACAGAAGGGAAGGGGGGTCCCTCAGCCTGGCCTGCACCCTCTCCAATCTGGGACCCCTTGAGGGATGTCTGACTTCCAGTTTAGGCCCAATCCCGCAGGGACCGCTGGCTCCTAACCGCTCGCCTGCCTGCCTGCCTGATTGCCCCTAACTGCCTCTGCCTGCCGGCCTGATCACCACTAATCACCTCTGCCTGCCAGCCTGATGCTCCTAACTGCTCCCCTGCTTGCCTGATTGCCCCCTAACTGCTCCCCTGCCGGCCTGATCGCCCCCTAATTGCTCCCCTGCCAGCCTGTTATTATAATTAGACTAGAGGTCCAGTGCACGAAATTCGTGCACGGGGTGGGGGTTCCTCAGTCGGGCCTGCACCCTCTCCAATCCGGGACCACTCAGGGGATGTCTGAATGCCAGTATAGGCACTGGGGATCGGGCCTAAACTGGCAGTCGGATATCTCTCTCACAATCCGGGACCACGGGCTCCTAACCACTCACCTGCCTGCCTGCCTGATCACCCCTAACTGGTCCCCTGACGGCCTGATAGCCCCTAACTGCCTCTGCCTTGGCCTCCGCCACTGTGGCTTTGTCCAGAAGAATGTCGGTCTAATTAGCATATTACCCTTTTATTAGTATAGATTATACTAGAGGTCCGATGCATGAAATTTGTATAAGAGTAGGCCTTCCTTCCCCTGGCTGCTGGCACTGGCTTCCCTTTGGCACCCTGGACCTGGACTTCCCTCCGGCCCCAGCTTCATCTGGTCTAATTAGCATATTACACTTTGATTATTATAGATTATATTATATATATTATATTAATATATATGCCATTTCATATATAATTGACTTGGTTTCAAAATTGTTTTATGTTCTTCAGTAAATTCTACTTTAAAATTTACATTTTGTTTACTTAAAAGATTTTATAATTGGGCAAGTATCATGTTTTTCCTTTATTATTATACTTTATTTCACATAATTGAGGTTTTCTAACATTCATTTTAAAAACCTGAGTAAATATTTTGATATTTTTTTATTTTAGTTTTTTTTCATCACTATTAGTTCCCCCTATACCCTTTTCCACCTGCCCCCACTACTTCCCCCACCCATAATCACCACACTGTTGTCTGTGTCCATGAGATCTTTCTCTTTTATTTATTTTTGCTCAATCTCTACACACACTCCCCAACTCCTCCATGCCCCCGCCAAAAAGATGGGTCTATTTATGAATCTGCCTCTATTTTGCTTGTTAGTTCAGTTTGTTCATTAGATTCCACATATGAGTGAAATCAGATACTTGTCTTTCTCGGACTGCATTATATCACTCAGCATAATGTTCTCCAGGTCCATCCACGCTGTTGCAAAGGGTAAAATTTTCTTTCTTTTTACAGCCAAGTAGTATTCCATTGTGTACATGTAAAATAGCTGTTTTATCTACTCATCTACTGATGGACTCTTGGGCTGCTTCCAGATCCTGGCTATTTTAAATGAACATAAGGGTGCATATATGCTTTCAAATTAGTGTCTCCAGTTTCTTTGGATAAATTCCCAGAAGTAGAATTGCTGTGTCATAAGGCAGTTCCTATATTTTGATATTTTAAAACAAATATAAAACCCAACAGCCAATTTTTAGAACCTAACAAATGCCTGGAATTATGCTGGGCTGCGATTAGAGAGATAGATATAAGCTGTCCCTGAATTTAAGATTTTCTAAAATAATTAATTTAATACACATTTGTATAATATAAAAATACTTATTTTGAAATAAAATTGAATAGAAATACATACAAGGCAGAATTCCTTGCTCTTTCTCTTTGTAGTTTGTAGCAAAGTTGGGTCTTATTGGATTTCCCCACCCCCATTATCTTGTGCATGGTGCCTTAGTAAGTGCTTTATGGTCAAATCAGATCCTTTAAAAGTTGGAAATTTTATTCAGGCTTTATTGGGTGCCTGGAAAGTTATAAGAATATACTTTCCAGTGATAAAAGGATCAAAAGGAATAGTCTATAATCTCCATCTCGTATCTTGCCCTAGCCTTTGTTTGATAGATCATGCTTTTTAAGGCAGAGGCTTCTTTTGTTGTTTTGATCAACCTTTCTGCACTCTTCTTAGTCCAGTTGCCACAGTCATCAAAGTGGTATTTGGGAGATTTTAGGGTTTGGTTTTTTATAACTCTGGTATTGCCTCTCTGATGGTTGCTGCTCAGGACCTACATTCTTAATGTTTTACTGTTCTTCCAGGGGAAAAATGCAAACATGAAATGTTCACTAAATGCCCTTGCTCACCTGCTTCTTAATTTAAAGTTTTTATTGGTCTCCTAACTTTTGGGTCTCTGGGACTTTTGATGACATATGCCAAAGGGCATATTAAATACCAGTGGGGACACTGCAGACAGGCCCTTTCCGCCTGTGAGTGTGTAGCTGGGCGGGCTGCTGACCAGCTGCTGGGCAGACCCTGATTTGTGATCACAAGTGCCACTGGCTCAGGGCACAGGCTATTTATAATAGCACTTATCGTTCTCTATTTGGGAAAGTCAAGCTTTGATGATTTTAGACCATGTGGTTGATGCAATTTACTCCATGTCATCTGCAGCCGGCAGGGTGCTGACAGCCGCTCTGGGGACTCAGAAGTGAATGCGTTCACCTAGGAAGACTTGAGCTTCTGCTCTCTGGAAACTTGCGGGACACTCAGCACAATAGGCCCTTTGGTACAGTTCTTATGGGGTTTGCAGTGAGTTAGAAACAACACTCAGTTTGCTTTAAGTTCAGTTTTGAAACCACAGCTTTCAGAAACGGTTCCAGTGAAAAACTGTAAGAAAATATGCCTACAAGTTCATTGAAGACCATAAGAGACCTGGTTGGCCTGTGTCCAGCCAAATGGCACAGTTTGGGCCTTAGAGAACGGAGGAGGAGGCACAGTGTGCTCTAGATGAGGCACGGTTCTCCGGAGGTGCTTCACTGACACCTCTATTGTTCTAGCATTTTCCCCAGGGAAGAGAGTTTGATGTGACTGACAACTGTTTGTGTTTTTTTTTTTTTTCCAAATCACCAAATTGCAAATTGGCCCTTTGCCAGCCTACGGACTCAGAGTCATTCTAGGATCCCAGGGCTCCATGCAGCTCTTGGGTCATCAGCTGAATGAATGCTTGAGGGACAGGAGGACAGGAGTGGTTTTTATTTGTTTGCAAGCATTTTTGTTTTTTTCCTTCAACATCTATTTTTATTTGAAAAGCATACTTTAATGAATAAAGCAGATGATGACAAGAAATCGATTGACAAAATTATTGAGGGGAAGTGAATCACTGGTGTGCATTAATTCTGATGTTCTAGAGTAGGGGTAATATTCTACTGATATTTTCCAGGAAGTAAAGTAGCTCATTTAGATGGAAAAGGGGGATGACATTGTGCTAAATTACTTATGGAGTTTTTAACCTGCTATAAATTTGGAGTAAATTTATTAGAATTGGAAGTACATGTTAACTTTATTGTCAGGATAAATAGCATCCTTTAAAGATGAGTGATCCTTGTACTTTGTACAAATCTTAGCTTTGACAGTGCCTGGTTGATGGTGACTAAGCTCACCGCCTGCTGTGTGGTGGATTATACAATAGTTTCCATCCCAATTGCACATTTCATTGGATGGTAAATTCTGAGTCCAGTTGTCAGACCAGCTCCTGAAGATACAGGAAGATTCCATGAAATCACCACTCAAAGAGCCGTATAGCAGCCTACTACGAGCCAAAACCAAGGGCCAGTTTTAGATATAATTAAATTTGAAATTACCTCTGCAACAGTATAAATTTTCTAATTTACTAAAAAGTTCACTGGAGAAAACCCTACAAAACAATACACACAGATGCACTCTCTTTCATTAGAACTTGGGTAGGCTATGTGTCTTATAAGCAGCAGCCAAATCACTCTCATGTTCATTTACAGGATCTAATTTTTCTTTTCTCACTGTTTTAGGAAGTTTGGAGCTCAAGGGTCACGACTCACAGGAGCAGGATGGGGCGGCTGCACAGTCTCATTGGTACCTGCTGACAAGCTGCCCAGCTTCCTAGCAAATGTGCAGGAAGCCTATTACCAGAGTGGTGATCGGTGCCTGGCACCCGAGAAGCAGAGTTTGTTTGCTACCAAACCTGGAGGCGGGGCCTTGGTTTTCCTTGAGGCCTAAACAATGTAAAAAAATCTCAGAGAAACTATTTAGGGCATTTAGGAACTGGCAGGACTTCTCATGCCACAGTAAATTAATCCTTTCTGTTTTGTATTATGATGAACGGTTGCTATTATCAAGATGTGTTTCCAAAGAAATGGTTGCAAGCTCTTTAAGCTTCATAACGATTATTTTTCCATCTTAAAATATGTTTTCTACCAATAGGAGTCAAAATTATGGTTGGACAGATCCCTTAAGTATGATTTACTAGGATTTATTGACTGTAAGATTTTTAAAGATGAATTGTAAAAGACAATCCCAACCTCATGGATTGGACTAGAATTAAACATACTGCTACAGTTAAACTGAAACAATTGACTTGTGTACAGTATCTTAAACACAGTTTACTTCTGGTTTCTCTCAGTGCTCTTCTTCATCCACAGTATAGTCTTCTGTTGATGATGATGATGACAGTGATGTCAGAAGTTCTCTGTCAAGCTTGGCTTCATTCCGCTATGAAAAGAATACATTATTAGGGATGCACAGATTTTCCTGGACAGCGTATACTGGAGTGTGAGATTCCCCCAGTTACCAACATGAGCATTATTAAAAGACTAGAGGTCTGGTGCACGAATTCGTGCACATTGAAAGGAAATTAATTAGAAGAAATATTTTAATATTGCTATTCGCCCTTTCTCTATAATAGAAGTGTCAACCAAATTCACGATAGACAATGATAGAAACACACGTGTGCGACTGGTGCCAGTGAGAGCTTTATATGTATCGTGCATACTCGAGTCAACTTAGCCTTTTATATCTATTTATATATATAAAAGCCTAAGGGAACATCTGACCATTCAACCATTTGACTGATAGCTATGACATGCACTGACCACCAGGGGGAAGATGCTCAATGCACAGGCATGGAAACATGGAACAGACTGATGAATCTCAGAGGGAAAGGGAGCAGGGGGTGAGCGGGAGGGGGTTAACCAAAGATCTTATATGCATACTAGAGGCCCAGTGCACGAATCCCTGCACTGGGCCTCTAGTATATAGAATAAGCTTGCTTAATTAGACCTGCTTTCTGATTTAGCTAAACTTTTTCCAGCCCAGTGAAGCACCCCAACTTCTCTTTCAGGTAATTATCAGCAACACAGCAGTAAATATCAACATGAAGCAGATTATTATTGTAGATCATGCAGGGAGAACAAAGGGTAAAATATTTAACTGCAGCAGTGTTTGACTATATTCTGCACAGTGAGAAAACCTGAAGTCATTTTCAAGGTCCACCATTTCTTACTTCTTTTCAGTCGGGTCAAGTTTCTAAGCTTTCTAAATCTGTTTTCTGGCTAATGAAAAGAAAATAGGATTCTACCAGTCTCCTATCTACCTACTCCAGGACTTCTGTGAGGATCAAATGAGATGAGGCACAGGAAAACTCTTCACAGACATTTGATTAAAGTGTGAAATGTTTGCACCTGGCTATAAAGCAAGTCATGTTCCTGGGTTGAAGAAACTGCAAGGAGGCTTGTCTTCACTAGGGAGAGGAAGCCACCTTTCACCCCTTTATTGTGTGTCTAGTAAGTCTTATTCATATATGTGGGCCAGTGTAGAGCTGGTGTGCAGGTATGTGGGTAAGAGTATAAAAGGCTTAGAGAGTTGGTTCTGAGATTGGGTAGAGGTATTGGTGGGTACCTGTATATGTTTATCAAACGTGGGCAGAAATGTTTGGCCATGTAACAATGGTAAATGAATGGCTTTCTCTCACGGATAGAAGACAGGAGGGCCTTTTTGAATTATGTAAAGATTTAGACCAGAAAGCATTTAGTGATGTAATCTGATAATTGAGACAGCAGTGGTCTTATGGCATGAATTATCCAGAAAATTACCACAATTTTCTATTATCCTATGATTGTTTTTTGCTCATTAATGTGCAACTCAAAGATTGGACATCATCATCTTGAATCTCAGTTTCATGGAGGCTCAGGCAAAGTTCGTTGTAATATTTCTCAAAGGACAATAGTCATATAGAAAGTACTAGAAAATCCATTATTTTATTCTAAAATAAATTTCATAGCAGAAAGGCAAAGACTTAGAAAACTTAAGTCAAATTTATTGAAAGAATTTTGAGTTTTTAAAACTCAATAATCCAGAATCTGAATTGATTTAATTTTTTAATACTCACCTAAGTATATATTTATTGATTTTTCTTTTCTTCTTTTTTTTTGAGAGAGAGAATGAGAGAGAGAGAAACATCGATTGGTTGTCTCTCATATGTGCCCTAACCAAGCTTGTAACTTAGGTATGTGCCCTGACTGGGAATTGAACCCGTCTCATTTCAGTGTATGGGACAATACTCTAACCAAGCCACACTGCCCAGGGCAAACTCTGAATTGATTTTAAATTCTTTGGTTGTTTTTTTTAAATACCTATTTTCCACAAAAGATCTGTGGTTGTTATATAATTCTTTAAAGATACCTACATTACAGTTTTTTTAAAAAAGGCACTTGCCATTGCTTTGCTATCTATTTAAAAAAGAACTGTTTTTCAATAAGACTATCACCAAGTGTTGTTCTAGAAATTCTGAGAGATATCAAACTTTTGTGGAAAGGACGAGGCTAGGGCCACTGGGAAAAAAAAGGTTCATTTAGAAGATGGAATTTGAGCGTGAATCTGAATTGCTGACCGTGGAAGATCCGATAGTACTTTGGCCTCCATTCCTATGGGGCAACAATGAACTGGAGCTGAGGAGGTCATTGCCTGGTGTAGACGAGGGGAGTGCTCTCCAGTGAGCCAGTTTCCACAGCTCCTCGTACTTCCCTAATACTCGAGCCGTTTATCATTGACTAGCTGAGGTCAGCGTGCCCTTTCCCCGCATACCTGCACAGGTGTTTTCTCTACTAAATAAACATCTCTCTGGACCCATGTCTCCAGCAGTAGTAGTTAAGAGATACCAATAAAAATGGGAGAAAGAAGTATTTTGTGTCTGTGGAAGTCCTTGGAGGGAAGGTAGGGGAGGGTGGGGGTAAGGGGGAGAGGTCAACCAAAGGACTTATATGCAAGCATATAGGCCTAACCAATGGACACGGACAACGGGGTGGGGGGGGGGGCGGTGAGGGCATGAGCGGGGTGGTAGGGGATAACGTGGGGATAAGGACACATATGTAATATCTTAATCAATAAAAAATATATTTAAAAAAAGAATAGTCCTGTTTGTTTAATATTAAGCACCTAGGTATGTTACTCCTTTCTGTTGCACCTTTCTGGCTCCTATAAGAATTGGATTAGATGATTTAACTCCTGTTTTGACTTTACACCCACAGCCAATGAGGACTTCCCTAGATTTTTGATTGGTAGCCTGGCATACTGAAAAGAAAAGGCTCTCTCCTGCTCCTGACCTCAGGTTGCCCAGCCTTCAGATTTGTTGTACACTAATCTGTACATGGCCTTGCCTGCTGGGCGGGAAAAGGCCCTTCTGATGGCACAGGACTGCCCGTAAGCAGGAGAGGAGAGGACACGGAGAACGGGAAGGTGGCCCAGTCTCTTTCCTTTTCTTTCTTTCCACTCTGTTCAGAACCTTTTCATTTCTGTCTTATGTTTCTGTTAATTGTGGGTAGGGCCCATTCATTTAACACAGTGGTTGGGATCCAATATATTTTCAATTATGAATGGAAAATACGAATATGATTTCAAACACCAATAATTTTCTGTTAATTTGAAAATCTGACTGATTTGGAGGTTTTTAGTTGCATAAACTATCCTTGGTCAGAAGCAAGGGGTGGGGATAGTGGACATGAGATAGTCACGGACATGTGAAATGTGCACATGGATGATGAAATAACATATGAAGCCACATACTGTTTACTTAATATTGTCTAGTCTATATACTAGTAAGAGAAGCTAGAGAGACTTCTCAATCAGTTAAAAAACAAAACATACCAGTTTATGTAGGAACTTCTTAAAGTCTTTTTCAATCTCTAAAGGCTTCTTGGTAGCCTTTGCTTGGAGTCTAACATGGAACAAAGAAAATCGTTAACCAAACTAGTTTTTATACTGACACCAAGGCCAACATTTACAAAGAGTTTAATGTGCCGGGCACTTGCCAGCACTTTGCAAGTGTTAATTCAATTACACTTGCAGCAGTCTTATGCAGTAGGTACTACTATTATTTATCCTGTGTTATCAATGAGGAAACCGCCTCTGGGAGGTCAAGTCCCCTCCCCACAGACGTAGAGCTCACAAGTAGCAGAGGATTAATTAACCCAAGCAGTGTGACTGGAGCCCTCAGTTCCAACCATGGTGCGACACTGCACCCCAGCCATGAAGCGTCCTCTTCGGAGAGATGCTGCACACAGCACTCCCTGAGCTGACCCCACTCACAGGCTCCAGCACAGACTTTAGGAAGGGTCAGTGGGGAGAGAAGAGTAAAAGAGACTGGCAAGAGAAAGACCTGGGGGACAAAGAGAGAGAGACATGGAAGAGGCAAAAGGGTGAGGGTGCTCACTAGACTAAACTCACAGAGAGTGGGAATCCAGGGCTCTCTCATGGTTTCTGTCCCTAAGTACTCATTCAAGAATTATTTAGGAGGGAGATGAGTAGTTGAATCCAGAGATCTTTGAGGCAAGAGGCAGAAGTAGCCTAGGCAAGGAAGGGTAGGAACTTGCAACAAGGGAGAAACATTAGTAGCAAGAGAAACATGGATGAGTGAAAGAAAAATGAAAAAGGGTAAAAGGTTATTATTTCACTGGAAATTTTCAACTGAGACATTTTAAAATTATTCTTCCTCCATGAAATCTGTAGGAAGTAAAATTTTCTATGAATTCCAAATATACTTGTGCAAGCATAAAGTTTGGATTGCCAACCCCCTGCAAGGCCTGCTCTAGGTTTCTTCAGTGTTTAGGGTTGCCCCGAGGGCACAGTAGGGCTACCTCTTGGGGGTCTCTTGCTTTAGTGCTCTGTGAGTGATAAATGTCCCCTCGCTCATCTTCTACTTTGCCTCTGCCAATGTTACCGCCTCAACCTCACTTCTTATTACCCTCTGGGTCTGTCCTTCTCTGTTTCTCAAGTGTGTTCTTACAGTTCGGGTCTCTTCCTCATAGTCTTATTTACTCCAAAATACCCCTGTGCCCTTTTCCAGTCATACCCTCTTAGAATCTTCTTGACCTGCAACTCATCTTGAGACCCTGGTTCATCTCAGTTGACATCAACCCACCTTCCAAGTCTCTCCTTTGGTTTACAGCCCCCCTCTATTTAAATAAATAACAGCTTTATTGAGGTATGTCACATACCATAAAATTTACCCTTTGGAATTGTACAATTCAGTGGTTTTTAGGACAGCTGACCCTGGAACAGCACTGGTCTGGACTGCATAGGTCTGTTTATACATGGCTTTGTTTTTGCAGTGGAGGCAGAGAGCCAACTGCATCAATCTACACCATTCTGTATGAGGGACTTGAGCCTCTGCAGATTTTGATATTTGCAGGGGTCCTGGGACTAATACCCTGTGGATGCGCAGGGACAACTTAAGCTTTGGGGAGTCAAAAGTTATATGTGGAATTTTGGCTGTGTGCAAGTCAACATTGTTCAAGGGTCAACAGTATGCTCACTGTTGCAGTCATCACCACTGCCTGTCCCATCCTCCGACTGCCTTTCTTCTCCATGAATGCCTCATTTCTGAAGATTACTAGTACATGGTGTGCCTATGAGTTTAACAGGCACATGGAATGTATATATCCAAACTAGAGGCCCGGTGCACGAAATTCGTGCATGGGAGGGGAGTGCCTCTCAGCTCAGCCTACACCCTCTCCAATCTGGGACCCCTCAAGGGATGTCCGACTGCTGGACATCCCTCTCACAATTCGGGACTGCTGCCTCCTAAGCGCTCGCATGCTTGCCTGCCTGATTGCCCCTAACTGCTTCTGCCTGCCTGCCTGATCACCCCCTAACCACTCCCCTGCCAGCCTGATCACCCCTTAACCACTCCCCTGCCAGCCTGAACGATGCTTAACTGCTCCCCTGCTGACCCGATTGCCCCCAACTGCCCTCTCCTGCTGACCTGGTCACCCCTAACTGCCCTCCCCTGCTGGCCTCGTCCCCCCCAACTGCCTTCCCCTGGTGGCCTGGTTGCCCCTAACTGCCCTCCCCTGAAGGCCTGGTTGCCCCTAACTGCCCTCCCCTGCCAGCCATCTTGTGGTGGCCATCTTGAGACCACATGGGGGCAGCCATCTTGTGCAAGGGCGTGATGGTCAATTGCATATCACCTCTTTATTATATAGGATGAGTATTTTCCCCTTCACTTTATCCAACGTGTCACTGCATACTAGTAAGTACATTTGAGTGCTTCTTGCATGTTTCTCTCAAAACCGTTCTACATTCTTCCTTATATCCTCAGTGGGGAGAAAGCCATAGATTTGGTTTTTGGGAACTTGGAAATCAGATTTTATAACCGAGGTGTTGCAAAGGGGAAAGCTGTCTGATAAGGTTTGGGGGAAAAGTGAGATAAGATTCTAAAGTAAGGGGTCGTGTGACTAGGTGACTGGCTTTCTAATTCCAGAAGAATGTAATGGGAAGTGTGGCTGCAAGACTGACGCAGGCTGGTCCCTGTGGACTGCTGGAAGGTTGTGCTCATCTGATGCTCACTTTCACGCATGTGGGTGTGTTGGAAGAAGTGGGTTAGTCTCAATACAGCTTTCCTATTTATACTCTAAGTTATAAAATAAATAAATTAAATGAGACCAATGTCCTTGCGTCAGTAGGGGACAATGTATGTGTAGGGGAAACAGCAGGGACAGAAGGGGGACAAAGGACTAGCCCGGGGCAGACCAGTTAAACAGGTGGGTCTGGAGTTTACATCTTCCCTTAGGGCACGGCATGCTCATGGGCTTGCTTTTTAAAAGCCTGAGCCTAAGTTCTATATCTGGTGGAGTAAAAGGAGAAGATGATAATGTTAGCAAGTAATTAACTTAGCAGAGTAGGTAATTATGTGGATAAAGGAAGTTAAAATGTTACTCCAGATGAACTGTTGAATAGAAAATCTCTTTGCAGATATTTGAGTTGGTTTATTTTTACGTAATAAAATCATTGTGGTTTTATGTAACACGTTTGTTCAATTAAAATGTTTAAACACTACAGCGTTGAATAAGAAACAAACCTTTTAAGCTCCTTGTTAATTCTTTCCTGCCGCTCTTTTATGATTCTTATTTCTTCATTAAGTCTGTGCTTTTCCCTATAAAATCAAATATCAGAGTTAAGTTTTCTAAAAAAGCAAACATTTATTTAAAAATATATTTTTATCGATTTCAGAGAGGAAGGGAGAGGGAGAGAGAGAGATAGAAACATGAATGATGAGAATCTTGATTGGCTGCCTCCTGCATGCCTCCCACTGGGGATTGAGCCCGCAACCTGGGCATGTGCCCTTGACCGGAATCGAACCCAGAACCCTTCAGTCTGCAGGCTGAGGCTCTATCCACTGAGCCAAACCGGCTAGGGCTAAAGCGAACATTTCTAATTGCGAAAGAGTAAATCAACAATTAGCTGACTTTCACATGTTAGTAAAAGTCCTTTACAAACCAATTCTTCAGTGTCCCCTCCCAATGCAGTACTCTGTGTGAGGAGTCCCTAGCCCACCCTCTCTTACAAACACCTGCCAAAGGCATCACTCGCGACACCCGAGTATGGGCTGGCTTTGCTGTTCCCATAAGGCCCTCCCACAGTGTCCATCCTGCTCTTCCCACTGAGCATAGGAAATCTAAGGGCTCCCTCTCTGTGAATATGGGTGGGAGGGGAATGGGACCGTGGGTTCTGCTGCTGGACAGGACCTGGCTGGCTGCTCTCCAATGACCTCTCTTTGATGTGTTTCCTGAAAAGCACCAGGCACCCGTCCTTTCTCCCATTTAAGGCGGTAAGACCTCTAGGCAGTGACTTTGACATCACAGAAGTTTTGGATCCTGCCAATTTGTTCTTATAAAAATTGATGGACATCCTCTCATTAAGCCATTTCTAGCTTCCTGGCACATAAGAATACCGTGGCTGGCCATGAGTAATCATTGTAATTAAGTGGTTAAAATAAAACATTTCAGAAAAGACCTCCCTGCCTTGCTTTCCTCAATACCACCCCCGCTGCCACCCAGCTCCAGGGACCTCCTTCTAGTGAAGACAACTTTTCTGTTCTGCTTCCAGGGCATCTTTGTAAATGGACAAGGGTCCAATCCCTAGTCGCTGGGGCTCTCTGCTGGCCTCTCCACGTCGGGGTGCATCCCCCAATCACACCACAGCCCCGCTTCCTTCCTCAGTCCCTGATACTTGCCATGGCTCCACGGGCCCAAAGTGTATCCTCAGCACCTACCTGGAAAGAATCTCTTGAGTTGTAAGATGCTCAGAAGGAGCTCAGTGGACATGGTTTACATGGTTTCTAAGATCACTTCCAGCTCTAAAAGAGTCAGTTTTATATTTAGCAGTAGTATGGCAGCAACTTACATCCTCAAGTCCCTTTGGTTCTTTGCAAATTGTCTGTTTGCCTCCTTTATAATATCACGGTACGTTGGAGCAGGTGATGTGATAGGATTATGGTTAAGGAAAGATTTCTAATTGGGAACATTCAGGAGAGATAAACAGTACCTTTGATGGGGGGGCGGACAAGGTGGGGTCTGGCCTGGGCTGGCATGAGGGGTCTCAAGTGTAACTGAATGCTGGGTCTGGAGTGATACCAAGAGGACTGAAAGAAGACAAGACCCACTGACCACTTTAAACTTGTATCCCATTATCTGGACCACACCAACCACAGTGTGCTAGGACTTAACAGCCACATAAATCCTGTAATTACCATTTTTAAATGGCGATTTTTTTTTTTTTGGTGTGCTTCAAAAGCAGCAATTTGTTAAATGTAAATATTAAAAATGTACCAAAATTTCTGTAACCCTGTTTAGACATTGCTTCATTTCCTTTTTAAAATTACATTTATTGGGGTGACATTGGTTAGTACAATTAGATGGGTTTCAAGCATACAATTCTATGATACATCATCCATATACTGCATGTGTGTTTACCCCAAGTCACATCTCTTCATTTCTATATATACCGAGAACCTCAAAGTCTCTCGACCTCTGAGAGGCTCTGGAGGTGACTGGCAGCATGTCAGCTGCCTCCCTTAGCCTGAGCTTGGCTAACTGCACGGAGAAAGACGGTAAGCAGAGCCCGGCCAGATTGGCTCAGTTGGTTGAGCATCGTCCCATTCACCCAAAGGTTGCCGGTCAGATTCCTGGTCAACGCATATAACTGAGTTGTGGGTTTGATCCCTGGTTGGGGCATGCACAGAAGGTAACTGATTGATGTTTCTCACTCTCTCTCCCTGCCTCTCTTAAGCATGTCCTTGGGTGAGGATTTAAAAAAGAAAGAAAGATGGTAAGCAGACGGTGGAAGTGTGCTGTTCATGAGGCTGGGGCTCTTGTCCCATCTGTTTCTGGTACAGTCTGTGGCTGGGTCCCTTAACCTCTTGTGAGCCCAGGTTTGTGTCTGGCACACTTCCCTTCTGAAGAAGCAATTGGAAAATGACTCCAGGAGGCAGCCCTCACCTTTGTGATGACCTTAGACTCATCAATAAGGAGGAGTTCTTAACCCTCTGCAGTTTCCAACCCTAGGCACACTGCAATATCACCTCAACTTTTCTCTGAATGCAATTTGCTCATTTAAAACATTTATGCTGTATTTCAAGGCCATCCTAGATGCTCATTTTGATCTTATTTATCTGGTATAAGAAAGGCCCAGTGGGCTTTCCCCACGTGTTCTGGTCACACTGTGCACATCTCCTTGTCTTCAGGGCTGTCCTAAATGACACTGCTAGAGTAAGTGCCTATATGAACTACAGTTTTTTCCTCGATGTGAATCAAGTCCTAATGGTAAAATTTCAAAATAAATCTTCCTAAGGCTGGACCCACATTACTTTCAAACTTGGGCTTTGAGCTGTCTTTCTGCATAAGAAATGTATTTGATTATTCAATGAATAACAAGATTAAGGGTTCATTAGTCCTCAAATTTAAGAGGGAAGTAGTGGAAGCCTCACTTTAAATAATTAAAGCAGAGAAAAAAACTGAGCTTTACAAAATCTACTCATTTTGACACTTGTTTCAGCAAGGCAAAGGATATTATTGTAAGAATATATTATCAGCATTAATGATTGCATTACTCCAAAGAAAACAATTCTCCCATAATCCCACTTTCCAAACAGTGAAACTATTTTCAATTTTCTATGTATCTATCTGTCATATGCAAATATATATTTTACCTTATTGTTATGGTGTGGTTGCTTTCTTTACCCAATATAGTATCACAATTTCCCCATGCACCTAGGTTTTGTCCTAATAATTTTAATGTTTGCAAAAGATTTCATTGGGTGCACATACCAGATGGGCTCTATTGCCATAATTATCATTACCAAGGTGCAAATATTGCTGGGTTTTCTTACATGAAATTACCAACTTCTCCTCTCTTCTCCAATTGTGTGTTCCAATATGACTCCTCCCCCAGCACCCCGAGATTCTAGCCAGGGAGAACTGTCTCTCCCCTCACTCGGCTCCCTCTGAATTCTGGGCAAAGATAGCCCAGGTCTTGCTTAGCTTGGGACTGGTGTGATGCACATGGTCAGAAAGGAGGCAGTGGTTCCGTTCATGACATCAGCACAAGGCCTGCAGTTTGTTTTGCCTGATACCCACCTTTAGTGTTTCCCCCTACATGCCACAGGCTGTAAAAAAGTCCAACCACATTAGAAAAGAAGGCTCAGCAATCTTCCTCTAACAAGTGATACCTGTAGCATTCAGCTACCTTTAATGCCTGCCTTCCTCCCCCTGCTGCACACGTGACTGAAAGTCTAAGTAAGATCTTCTCTGAGTAAAAGTCAGAGAAAACTGGATATCGTTCTTCTTATTGAATGCCTAGCACGACTAATGATACACTTTTTCCTAAAGTGTTGATAGTCTTGAGCTGCTGAGATTTAATTTGTGTGCAGCTATTTCCTGCTAATATTTAACTTCTCCCTCAAGTGCCTGTTAGAATTTCAAAGACTATCCTTCTACAAAGTTATATTGTGCTCTTGACCATGGTTTTCATGAAGTATTTGTGAGCAGGCTGATATGTTTGTCACTCTAATCGGATTTTTTTTTTGCATTGCACATTCATTATATACTTACTATTGGTATTGAGACAAAGAACTGTTTTATATAAATTATTAATTTGAATATATGCCATTATTGAAATGAACTGGGTATACATTCTTTAAAAAGTCATTCTCCTTGTCCCCAAAATTGGGCCACAGTTGTACATTTGTGTTGTGTAATGAGGCTCTGAGCTGTATAATGTTGGTGTTGACTAACATCCCAGCATTTTCTTGCACTATTTCGTGGTGATGGTTTTCAGTAGACTTCTGTTAATGAATGTTTGTTAATATCCTAATTTTTATTCCCTCAGATACTTAAGGCCATCAATGTTTCCCAACTGCAGAAAAATAGAGTATTCAAAGCATATAAATTATGATGAATGGGTGGGTATATTCTGTTCCTTGGGGATGACTGTGGCAACATGTTTTCCAATTCCACCGTTTGAACAGACCTCACACTTATTTTCTCAGGCACTGTTACATGGGGGTTACATGGCAAGCCACTAAATGGATAAGGAGCCACTTGGGCACAAATAAAATGGTCTTGTACACAACAGTTGTGGTTGGGATGTGACAAACCAAGACCTGGAGACATCCTCGTGGCCTCAATTCAGACTCTGGGGTCTTTGATCTCCATTTAGAATCACAGAGAAACAAGGAACCTTAGAAATCACGGGGTCCCATTTGACTACATTATAGATGAAGAAACTGAGGCTCTGGAAGGAAGTACCTTGTCTTTGAGAGCTGGGGCGTGTGAGGGACTCAAGAAAAGAATGTCTAGGTGTGATTTTTGCTCCTGTCTGCCAAAAGTATTGTTCTAGAATGAGGCTACACATGATGCTATCGTATATGAAGTAAAAGGAGCCTAAGCTTCAAGCAGTGGCCAGAATCTTCTTCTTTAAACACCAAAATTCATTTAATTCTTAATCCTAATAACTTATTAGCATGTGGCCCAAACTGATTTTAAAGAGGTTATATTCTGCTTAATGTTTACCTTTACTGACTCTTCAGATAGTTTTTTTTAAAAATATATTTTATTGAATTTTTACAGAGAGGAAGGGAGAGGGATAGAGAGCTAGAAACATCGATGAGAGAGAAACATCGACCAGCTGCCTCCTGCACACCCCCTACTGGGGATGTGCCCGCAACCAAGGTACATGCCCTTGACCGGAATCGAACCTGGGACCCTTGAATCCGCAGGCCGACGCTCTATCCACTGAGCCAAACCGGTTCGGCTTCAGATAGTTTTGTTATTGGAGAAATGGATGGCGGGTCTTTCTCCATTGCTAGCGGGAGTGGGGCTCTGAGGTGCTGTGGGAATAAGCATTTCCAGAGGCCCCATGGAGGATGGGATCGGTAGAAAGCTTTATTTGCGTGGAATTACATTTCTGGGTTTGCCAAGTCCCATTTGTCTTAATCCAGTACTTGAAGGTGTGCAGCTGGGGATTCAGTAGAGCTAGAAGCAAAGCCAGTGTCCAGAGTTTCCGTTCCATGGAGGAGCTGGGTCCGGTACAGTATCAGGCTAGTTGCAGTCCATTAGTCCGTTGTACGGGGTGCACATGGCTCTGAGCAGGAGCGTGAGAGTCCTGCGGGCCAGGTGTCAAGCTGGAGCAAACAAGAGCCAAGAGGCAAAAGTGAAAACTCCTTTGCTTAGGAGCTTATTTATCTCAAATCTTCCCACATTTGCGGTGGCCATGCGTACTCTGGCCAATGACCTGTTTCCAAGTGTGACTGACGGGCAAGTACCTTCCCTATTCCACCCAGACTTTACTGGGCATGCGTCTATTCTTCGCCTCCACTTTGCTCCTTTCCAGTTATTCATAGCTAGGTAATGACAACGATATCAGCTCACGTTAGACTTGCAGGAGTGTCCAACATCCACAACATAGCCATGTATCCAAAATTAAAAAAAAAACCCCAACAAGATAACTAAGCACATGTGCCTTATTCTATGGGAGAGAGAATCACTATTGAAATCTCAACCCAGATTCTACTGTATATGGCCTGGTATTATGTGTAAAATAGGGTTACTGTTTTAGTAAGTTTCACTATTTAACACGGCATTAGCAGCAGTTTTAGCATAGTCTAGAAACTGGAGGAAATAGGGCCACTGGAAATGTTAACACAGATTTAACTAAAAGCATTCCACAAACTCGCCAGGACTTTTACTAGGCGTTGAGACACAAAGATGAGTAAGACATGGTGTTTGGTTTTAAGGAGCTAGTAGGAATGAGAAAAGACATTAGGCAGTTTTTGAAGCAGGAGACAAAAGAACCATAAAAAAATAGAAATAAAGACTATAAAAGTCTAGCAATCTGTTCTCCTTTAGTGCAGGACTGTCTCACATTGGGTCAGGGGCTCCTCGGTGCTACCCCGGCGCCTGGTGCAGGACTCTGTCCCCATGGCC